TATTTATTTATTGTAAAATTTCATATTCATTATTGATCTTATTATTTGAAAGATATCAGAAAGACAAATCTACCTATATTAATTTTGTTAAAAATAGATTTGTAGAACTTATGTTATGCATTTTTAAATTTTTATAGGTCAAAATAGAGGGTAAAAATGTTAAAAATTATCCCCACCATCACATGTTTTTCCTTACCAACTCAGAAGTGTTATGAGTCTTTATAAACAACAAAAACCAAAGCTTGGATCTAATACTTAATGCACCCCTCAACTTGGATTTACTGACAATTTTTCTATTTTGAAAATGTTGTCACTAATAAATTTTTATTAATTGACAGATTACAAAAATATGTTTTATAAAGATGGTTTGAGATATATAAAATTATCAATAATTAAATGAAACTATGATAATATTGGAAATAGCATATTAGTTGCTTTTTAAGAACAATAATTACGAAATTGAGGTGATTCATCTAGAAAGTGGCCTATCAACTAATGTCAGCTACTTCATACATAAAGAAAATACTAAGAAAAATAATATATAGATCAAGAATTCAAACACAAAACAAATGTTAATAAAAATAATGTATGTTTTAAATTCACTTCACATGTGAATTTAAACCACACTACTTGATGTTGGCTTTTTTTTTTTTTAATTTTTTTGATATATTATTTTAGGTCATATTTGTTTGGGTATACTACATAATTTTTCTTAAGTAGTTTTACAAAAAATCATCTAGGTCAATTGATTGATTCTAAACATTTTTTTTGTTGTTTGATCACAACTTTGAGACACTTTTCATAAAACATTTTTATGGTCGTTAACATTTTTGCAATACATAAATTGTAATATAAGAATTTTATTAGATAGTGCCTTCAGGCACGGGCAATCTCTAATATAGAAATAACTCAGAATTAAACAACATACATAAACTACTAAAAAGCGACTCGCCTTTTAGTCTTTTACAAACCAATGCAATTAGTAATTTTTTTATTTATTTTTGGATGAGCAAAGAAGAGATTTTATTGATGTATAGAAGCATGATTAACACCACCAAATAGAAGCACGATTAAACAACATACATAAACCCTTTCCCCACCAAATTAACACAATTAAAGAAAGCAAGATAGAATTTAAATTAATCAAAATTACAGAGACCAAATCAGCATAAAGAAAAAATTACAATGACCAATGGCGTAATTCTCTCTTATTTATTTTAATTTATAATTGTCAACTTATTATCCTAAAGGAGCATTACACAAGCAGTAGCCTTTTTGGTAACATTTGTTTTTTTATAAGACTTACAATGTCAGTAAATGTTAGGTAAGTTGTTGAAAACATTGTTGTATTGTATCCCATTGCATTTCAAAAGTTATTTGCCCAAAACAAAGGAAGAGGAATTGGAGAGATTCCAATTCAAAGGTGAACAATACACTCTGGCAATAATAGACAGCCAAAAACCCCAACAATAGTTGACAACCAAAAATCTCAACATAGGCCTAAAAACATAACAAAAACAGCTAGCCCAACCCAACTATCTGAGTTACATGAGCCAGCAGCCAAACCAACCCAGACCCAAAGTTGAACAATACACAGTGGGAGCTGAAACACTTCCATCTGTCATCCAAACCAACCCAGGAAGGTATTTGAAGTTTATAGATGCTTACTTCTAGTAGAGTCATGCCATTTTTTTGTAATAAACAAACCAAAAAAATAAATAAATAAATAAAATACATGTTCTTTCAATTATTGGTTCATTGATGAAACCCATTTACTCATTTCACATAAATTAAAACCCTACAGCATATAAAAAAGTTAAAAAATAAAAAAACCCGTAGAGAACAATGGTAATACCATCTTGATCACTGAAAACAACTCAAGATAACCCAGCAGCACAAACCCATGAAATGGACAGCTCAAGAATACCCAACTGTCGATTCAGTTAAAAAATGGAACAACCTCTCAGACCCATTCAAACAAACACTTAATGGGTGTGAAGCCCTGGACTGAAAAAGAAGATTAGAATAAGAGAAAGAGAAGCAATGGGTCCGGAGACAAAAATAAATAAATAAAATACATGTTCTCAATTATTGGTTCATTGATGAAACCCATTTACTCATTTCACATAAATTAAAATCCATTTACTCATTTACACATTTCACATAAATAAAAACCCTACAGACAGCCCCATAACTAACGGCCAAGGGTAGACGTGTCAAGCAATATAAAAGATCTTTTTTGTGAATCCTTTTTTTGCCTTGTAGTTTTCATAGTTGAGTTCAATTTTTCCATTGAGCTTCTTTGATGCATTTTGAACATGTTGGAACCCTTAGGGTGTTTTTAAAATAGTAATACAATATGGTACAAACTTATTTATCAAAAAAAATATTAATAAAATGTCATTCCGAGCCAAGTCTGTTGCATCAGATGGTCAATTAGCTATCATATATTACACTAGAGAACAACATCTACTGTCTCTCCTAAAGTTTGTGCTGACTAAAAGGCATTCTACTGGTGGTCTTTTATTTCTTTGTAGTTGAGGTAATAATGCCATTGCCATATATCTATTATAGATGTAGTGTAATAAGTTGCTTGTTGCTTTGATAATTGTTTCAGATATGTTGAAAATTTGCTGCCGAAGTCTGGATACGACTTGTATTGCTCATCAATAAATTGCATCTCTAGATTATGCTGGTCCATTTTCTCTTAGAAGCGGGAGTTGTTTCCTGACTACAGATAACTATATATCAGTTATAGAATAAATAGAAAACTTATGTTTAGTAAAATTTACCCAAATCTATATATCGTTTTCAATCTATAAGTTTAGTAAAAACATATAAGATTTACCCAAACCTATAAGTTATTTTTTTTATAACCTTTTTTATAAGTTTAGTAAAAAAAAAAAAAAAAAAAAATAGGGTGGCTTCAACCAGATCATCATTTATTATGAATGAAAAATTAAGTACAATTCAGAAATTGAAATAGTTTCACAAACACACAACCAAATCAATTTCAATTAATCCATTGCCTAAAATGATCCCAGAACACAACAATTAAGAACAACTACAAAAGTAACATCACAAGTAATGAATAAATTAACTAATACTACCTGTAAACCTTTTTTAACAGAAACCTTATATTATATGAGTGGAAGAAAACTTTCCAACCCCCCCCTCCCCCAAAAAAAAAAAACAATGATTCCCCCAATTGCAGAGTAGTTTTGTTTTGTTTTTTCTTTTTTTCTTTTTAGGATAAATTAAATTTAAATTCCCATTCGGTGACCCTCAGGTCATTTTGGTTCTCCTAATTTTAACTAATTCTAAATTTATGATTTTATATTAATTTTGTTCAATAGATTAAAACCATGCATGTAAACCGTCATGATTTTAGAAATAACATTGTAAATTTGCTCAATGAGTTAATCTTAACTAATTTTATCAAAAACCTTAACAGTGTCTCCAATGGAAAATGCTATAATAGCATTGCCATTGCCAAATTATGGCAATAAATAGTAACATTTTGCTCAAATTATAGCAATGGTGTTCCAATGAAGAGCTGTCATTTTTGCTATTTTGACACAGAAACTAGTGTGTATGTGAGACATTCGGTCGAACGTTCCACACACACCAATTTCTAGCTTTCGTTTTGCAAAAGTAACGGACATAAAGGAAGGATGAATGTTTTGTTGGGAGGCAATGAAATTTTTGTTGTGAGTTGGCACAACAATCAAAGCTTGTGTCAAATTTGACACAAGCTTTGATTGTTGTGCCAACTCACAACAAAAATTTCATTGCCTCCCAACAAAACATTCATCCTTCCTTTATGTCCGTTACTTTTGCAAAACGAAAGCTAGAAATTGGTGTGTGTGGAACGTTCGACCGAATGTCTCACATACACACTAGTTTCTGTGTCAAAATAGCAAAAATGACAGCTCTTCATTGGAACACCATTGCTATAATTTGAGCAAAATGTTACTATTTATTGCCATAATTTGGCAATGGCAATGCTATTATAGCATTTTCCATTGGAGACACTGTTAAGGTTTTTGATAAAATTAGTTAAGATTAACTCATTGAGCAAATTTACAATGTTATTTCTAAAATCATGACGGTTTACATGCATGGTTTTAATCTATTGAACAAAATTAATATAAAATCATAAATTTAGAATTAGTTAAAATTAGGAGAACCAAAATGACCTGAGGGTCACCGAATGGGAATTTAAATTTAATTTATCCTAAAAAGAAAAAAAGAAAAAACAAAACAAAACAACCAAATTAGATTTATTCGAATTCCAAAGACCATCCCATTTTGGCCAAAACAGAAAAAAACCATCTCTTTTTCCGAATTTTCTCTCTAGTGATTTTTTTTTTTTTCAAAATTAAGTCAAAATTTTGTATTTTCTCAGTTTGTCTTGTCAAATCTAGAAAATTTCTTTTTTTTGAAAAATTCTAGAAAAAAATCACTAAAGATAAAAATAAGCTAACAAAAATTGCTATTTTGACTTATTTTTTGTCTTTTCTTGAATTTTTTAGAAATTTTTTTAAAAAATTGTAATTTTGAGAGTCGTCTTGTGGAGTTAAATTTAAAAACTTGCTTTTTATGAAAAATTCAAGAAAACATCGGTAAAGACGAAAAGAAGCCAAAATTAATTTCTCCAAGCTCAAAAAAAACTTTTTCAATGAGTCCACTTCACAAACCACCAATTATTCTTCAAATTTCTCTAATCAAAAAATGAAAATTCGTTGAGAATAACCGTAGAAATTTTTGCATTTACAACTCTTTTATAAAAAATTTATATGAATGGACTAGTTTTTTTATATATAAAATTGATATATATACACATATTAATAGGAGTAATTTTATTTTGGAAAAATTACAACACAGTGCTTGTTTTACAAAATAATTATAAATTTATAATAAAATTTATGACTTTAATTATTAATATAGATAAACTTGACTAATAATTTAAAATTATTTTTAAAAACATGCCCTGAATAGTAATTGTCCCAATATTTTATTTTTATTTTTTATATATATAAATTTTAATCATTAAAAAAAAATTAATGAGCAGAATGATCATATACAATCACCTGTAAAAAAGTGTGGCTGGAGGGGCTTGATAGTAGATTCCAAAGCTATGACCCTCTTCATCCAAGGACTCAAATATAGTCTTCTGAGGAAACCCTTCTATCAACTTCTTGGTATCATTACTCGTGGCCCCATGCGACGTCGCAGAGTGCACAAACAACCGGTTCGGCTGCGTGGACGCAGGCACCGCCGCGAACCACCGGTCACACACCGCATACTCCGCCACCAGCTCCTTGTAAACCGCCACTGACTCCGGTTTAAACCCGTTCATCACCGTCTCCGACATCCCTTTCTGTGTCCTCTCTGCATTCTGTGCAAAACCTTGCATAGTGGGTTGGAGATTTTGGGATGCGGAGTTTTGAGTCCATGGTTGGCCGAAGATTTGTTCGTACATGGCTTGGATGGAGTGACCCGGGTCCGAGTCCACGTATATGGAGTTTTGGCCGAAGAAGAGGCGGTTCGAACCGGGGTCGGAGGTGGAGAGAGGGTTTGATTCGGAGCCGGTTACGCCGTTGATTTGTGGGTTTAAGGATTTCATCCAACCGAGCATGTGGTCGAATGAGCGGTTCTCTTGGACTAGAACCACCACTGTTTTGATTGGGAATGGTGGATTTGGAGTTTCTGAAGCCATTGGTGGTGGTGGTGGTGGTGGTGGAGGAGGATGGTAATTGGGTAAAGTTGGAGTGGGGTTTTTAAAGTGTTTGTAACGAAAGAGGGGATGAGGGATGAGGGATGAGGTTGATAGGGTGAAGAAATGGGAACAGAGAGAGAGAGAGTCCAAAACTTGTTGAAAAATAATATAATGCTTATTAATGCAATGTGTTGCTTGTTAGTTTGGGTTTGGGAATGATTGATATCTTGAAAACGTCGGAGAAATGGAGAGCTATCCGGTTTTCTGTTGAATATTGGCAAGTGACGAATGAAGAGACAGATATTGGGAGGATTAGGATTGGGAATTCGAAAAGTTAAGATTTTTATTTTTTGTTTATTTATTTTTATTTTGTTTTTTTGTCGGTAATTATATAGTCACCTCTTCCGTAGTTAGGAGACAAAGGCAAAAAAATTTAATAATTTTGACATAATTATATTAATTTAATTAATTAATTTTTTTTTATCAATAATAGTTATTCATATAAATGAAAAAAAAATATATTTATCATCTTACATTAAAATTTATATTATTTTCAGGATAAATTACAAATCCCTTCAAATTTAGAAAAAATATAATAAGTTTAATAATTTTGACATAATTACATTGAACTCTCTTTTAGTAAGATTAAGTTATTGAAACTAATGCAGATGGAATGAAAATACTAAGATAAACAAAATAAAATATATATTTTAGTATAAAACAAATGACAGTATTATTTTTTTTATTTATATAACTAATGAATTTCTGATAAAAAGAGTGTCAAGTGTTATAATTAAAATCTTAAAAGAGACTAATATAATTATGTCAAACTTTTGGAGTTTATTGTATTTTTTGCAAATCTTATGGGAGGTCATGTAATTTACCCTATATTTTATTTATCTTTGTATTTTCACATTATCTGTATTATTTTCCCTTTAGCCTTCCTATGAGGCAGATCAGTATGGTTGTGTTAAAATTCTATGGCATGCTATTTTTTTTTTTTCAAATTTCAAAACAGATCTATGTAATTCACCCTTCATTTTTTTAGATTTGGCAAATTTCATTTCGAAAATAAACACACAACACTCTATTGTTTGTGGACTAAAATATATTGTCATGTCCATTAACGACTTAAGAAAAAGACTAAAATACCTTATTATAAGTAACCTCACTGTGCAAATCTTGGACATTTTATAGGAGGCAAAGTTCATTTTAATTCCCATGTATTTTATTCTATATGCAATTTACTTCCTAACATTTGGAAATTATCACTTAAAATCATTATTCCAATTTTTAATAGTGGATCAAGGTCCATGAGTTTAAATTAGAATAATTATTTTAAGTGCAAATTACACAAGTAATCCTTACATTTTGTTCATTGTGTCATTTTAGTTTCTAAACTTTCAATTTGCTCAATTGTGACTTTTAATTTTAAATTGTATCAATTTCGTCCAATTGACAATGAGCATTTTACGAAAAATGATTACTAAGTTGGTTGAGATTAATTAATTAAATTGTTCAAGTTTATAATTTTTCCTTTAGAAGTATGACACATGCCACTTATATGCTCATTTTTCTTATAAAATAATGTTAACAATCGTAATCAATTGAACCAAATTAGGACAAGATAAAAGATTCATAATCAAAATTGAACCGATTAAAATTATAATGACCAAAATAACACAATAAAAAAATATAAAAACTACTGATGTAATTTACTTTTATTTCAAATTAAAGAAAAGTCATAACACTTATTGAGGTAATTTTTCATATCCGTTTGATGATATATTAGAAATTTTCCATGAGGTCATGAAAAGGGGGAATTGGGGTCACTGCTGTGCCAGAGGCACTCATTTTGAGACACATTATGTGCTTATTTTTATGATCTGAACCGTTACGTTTGTAATATTTGTTGAGTACTTTATGCTTGTCAAAAATCATATTAATCGGATATCAATAACTATATGATTGATAACCAAAAAAATAAACAAGAAGTTTTTCTTTTGAAAAATAGTATAAAAATATGCAATTCGATCATATAGTTATTGATATCCGATTAATATGATTTTTGACAAGCATAAAGTACTCAACAAATATTACAAACGTAACGGTTCAGATCATAAAAATAAGCACATAATGTGTCTCAAAATGAGTGCCTCTGGCACAGCAGTGACCCCAATTCCCCCTTTTCATGACCTCATGGAAAATTTCTAATATATCATCAAACGGATATGAAAAATTACCTCAATAAGTGTTATGACTTTTCTTTAATTTGAAATAAAAGTAAATTACATCAGTAGTTTTTATATTTTTTTATTGTGTTATTTTGGTCATTATAATTTTAATCGGTTCAATTTTGATTATGAATCTTTTATCTTGTCCTAATTTGGTTCAATTGATTACGATTGTTAACATTATTTTATAAGAAAAATGAGCATATAAGTGGCATGTGTCATACTTCTAAAGGAAAAATTATAAACTTGAACAATTTAATTAATTAATCTCGACCAACTTAGTAATCATTTTTCGTAAAATGCTCATTGTCAATTGGACGAAATTGATACAATTTAAAATTAAAAGTCACAATTGAGCAAATTGAAAGTTTAGAAACTAAAATGACACAATGAACAAAATGTAAGGATTACTTGTGTAATTTGCACTTAAAATAATTATTCTAATTTAAACTCATGGACCTTGATCCACTATTAAAAATTGGAATAATGATTTTAAGTGATAATTTCCAAATGTTAGGAAGTAAATTGCATATAGAATAAAATACATGGGAATTAAAATGAACTTTGCCTCCTATAAAATGTCCAAGATTTGCACAGTGAGGTTACTTATAATAAGGTATTTTAGTCTTTTTCTTAAGTCGTTAATGGACATGACAATATATTTTAGTCCACAAACAATAGAGTGTTGTGTGTTTATTTTCGAAATGAAATTTGCCAAATCTAAAAAAATGAAGGGTGAATTACATAGATCTGTTTTGAAATTTGAAAAAAAAAAAATAGCATGCCATAGAATTTTAACACAACCATACTGATCTGCCTCATAGGAAGGCTAAAGGGAAAATAATACAGATAATGTGAAAATACAAAGATAAATAAAATATAGGGTAAATTACATGACCTCCCATAAGATTTGCAAAGAATACAATAAACCCCAAAAGTTTGACATAATTATATTAGTCTCTTTTAAGATTTTAATTATAACACTTGACACTCTTTTTATTAGAAATTCATTAGTTATATAAATAAAAAAAAATAATGCTGTCATTTGTTTTATACTAAAATATATATTTTATTTTGTTTATCTTAGTATTTTCATTCCATCTGCATTAGTTTCAATAACTTAATCTTACTAAAAGAGAGTTCAATGTAATTATGTCAAAACTATTAAACTTATTATATTTTTTTTAAAATTTCAAGGGCTGCTAGTGTAATTTATCCTGAAAATAATATAAATTTTAATGTAAGATGATAAATATATTTTTTTTTCATTTATATGAATAACTATTATTGATAAAAAAAAATTAATTAATTAAATTAATATAATTATGTCAAAATTATTAAATTTTTTTGCCTTTGTCTCCTAACTACGGAAGAGGTGACTATATAATTACCGACAAAAAAACAAAATAAAAATAAATAAACAAAAAATAAAAATCTTAACTTTTCGAATTCCCAATCCTAATCCTCCCAATATCTGTCTCTTCATTCGTCACTTGCCAATATTCAACAGAAAACCGGATAGCTCTCCATTTCTCCGACGTTTTCAAGATATCAATCATTCCCAAACCCAAACTAACAAGCAACACATTGCATTAATAAGCATTATATTATTTTTCAACAACTTTTCGACTCTCTCTCTCTCTCTCTCTCTCTCTCTCGTTAATAAGCACGTAGCATATGCTTTTATTCCTAGGTGTAACTTCCACTCCGATCTGTTTAACGTTTTCATAATACTGCAACACGTGGCATTATACTAAAAATTGAACCGCCAAAGATATTTATTAGTCAACATTAAATCTTAAAATACACATAACGTATGTTTGTAAATAATGATGTATGAAAAAAAATAAGCCTTACTACTTGAAGGACAATGGTTGACAAATTTTAAAAAGGATGAGGGTATTTAAGTTTAAAAATTAAATTTATTTTTCAAAAACAATGTTGTGATATTGTTTTAGAATATTTGAAACAACTTTTTTTATTCATATTTTCTCTAATTATTAATCAATCAAATGATTTATACATACTGAGTTTAAAAAGTGAGTTTAGAAAATGAAATTATATATCAATTTTCTTTTTAAAAATGTTATGCAGTTTCGAGGTTGGTATTTTTTTATATATAAAAATTAAAAAATCATTTCAAAATTGTTAATTGATGCAATTAAGCTTTTATGAGCAAGAGTGAATCATGCAAAATGTGCAACTTCCATAAATATTTTGCCCCACTGTATTAAATACGCCAATTCCAGCAGAGCTTAATTTTATTAACATTATAAACTAATTTGTAAAATGTGAAATACAAACAATTGGTTTCCGTTTTATAATTATGTTAAATTTGTAGATTTTGGTGTATGTTTTTTAAACCTTAAGTATGATGATGATGCCACTGCTATGATTTGAAATTGAAACCTCACCTCATTAATACCAAAATATCCCTTCATGGACTTGGGGTCACTGTTGTATCTTTGACATAGTAATGACTGTTGTGTTTCATTGGATCAAAAAGTAGGAGTGGTTGTTTTTTAATTTTGTTTTTATCTTTAGCAATTTTTTTTTTTTTTTTCTGATTCACCTGGTCTGGTAGAAGTAAAATAAAGTAAAATTTTTCACAATAAAATTTTACTGTGAATCAGATTAAAATTTTTTCATGACCTTTTTTATGAAATATGAGTTAAATATGGGTTGTGTTTGAAGTGATGTGGTAGAGAGGTGATGTGACTTAAATAAAATGATGTGACTTAAATAGGATAGTAACGTTTTGACTTTTTAACTTTTTTAGGTTATGCCAAACCAAGCCTAAATAATTTATGAGTCATAACTAAAATAATATCATAATTAAAAAAAAAATAATCATAACTAATGGATAAAATGACATAATTATAAGTACATATAATACATTTTTTTTTTAAATGTATATTAAAATTTCTTATTAAAAAATAATATAATTTTTGGATATTAGTTTCTATGTAGGATCTGA